GGGATCTGCTGGCTCCTTCTCCACCTCTTTTTGCTGCTCCCACCCGGTTCATCCCCTGCCCTGCAGCCCCCAAACCTGCAGGGTCATTTTTCCTGGAGCTGGAGCGAGGGATGATGCCCAGGGATGAGCTAAAATTGTTGTGCCCAGGGAAAAACAGCAAATGGAGGGTAAAAGATTTCTGCTCAGTTCTCCAGGCCCTTTGTTTAATCCCCTCTCCAAGGCTTTGAATGCCAAATCTGCCCCCTTATTTTGTGCACAACCCCCCCAAAACTGTGTCCCCTCACCCCAAACAGGCCAAACCTCCAGTCCTGGGGAGCAGAGGAGCAAAACGGGGCAGGAAAGGGGGGAAAGAAGTCCCGGTGAGCTCTGATCTGCTCTGTCCCAACACAGTGCCCACTGCCAAAGGCAAAGTCAGGATCCTGGGATGAGAGGATCCAAATCCTGGGGCATGGGAGCAACGGCAGGGACATATGGGAAGCAGGATGGGACCTCCTTGGTGCTTGGAGCAACCAGCCCCCAGCCCAGCAGAGCCCAGCTCCTGTTCCAAGGGCACTGGGGGATCCTGGAATCCATGTCCCAGGGTCACCATCACCCCTGGATCCCATGTCCCAGGTTCACAATCACCCCTGGATCCCATGTCCCAGGGTCACAATCACCCCTGGATCCCATGTCCCAGGGTCACAATCACCCCTGGATCCCATGTCCCAGGGTCACAATTATCCCTGGATCCCATGTCCCAGGGTCACCATAATCTCTGGATCCCATATCCCAGGGTCATGATTTTGCCTGGATTCCTTGTCCCAGGGTCACAATTATCCCTGGATCCCATGTCCCAGGGTCACCACCATCTCTGAATCCCATATTCCAGATCTGGATTCCGTGTCCCGGGTTTACAATCATCTCTGAACCAACTTGTCCCAGTCCTCAGCCGGGAGGGAAAATATGCAAATGGGTTCAGCAGACCTTCGGAAGGGGAAAATAATCCAGAGGAAAAATGGAAGTTTCTCCCCGTGCTGGGATTTCTTGCAGCTCTCAGCAGCCAGGGATGGAGTTTTAAACCAAGGAAGGGCCCTGAGCGTTTCCTGTAGCTTGGAGACACTGGGAGCACTGGGAGGGGGGAGCAGAGCTCCTCCCGCGGCCCCTGCCCTGGGGATGGAGGGTCTGACCCACTCGGGAAAGAGACCCCGGGGTGGGGGTGGATTTGGGATTAGAGGGTTAACGAAGCGGTTGGGACGCACGTGACTGGCTGTGGAGTGGGGGGTGGGTGGGGGTGTCCGGGCCGGGGGGGCCGCTGGGCGATCCCTCCCTCCCCATCACCCCCCACGTCCCCCTCCTCCCGGTCCCTCGCACAAAATCCGCTCCCGCCGCCCGTCCCCGTCCCCTCCAACCTGCGCCATGGAGGCTCCGGGCTGTCCGGCCTTCCCCCCGCCTCGCCGGCCCGGGGGTCCCCCGGGGGTCCCGCGGCCTCCCACCGCCTTCGCCCTGGGCCCCCCGGGCCCCCCCCCGGCGGCCGCCGCCGCTCAGCCCCCGCCCCGCCCGCTGCCCGCCGGCCCGGGCACAGCCCCGCTACCCGGGGGTCTCCAGCGCGGGCCCCCCCGCCGTGGCCGTCCATGGGAAGCCCCCGTACCCGCCCGGGGCCGCAGGTACCGGGGGAGCGGCGGGTGGGGGGGGGGCGCGGCCGCCGAGCCCCTCCCGACCCCTTCTGCTTCTCTTCGCCCCTCTCTGCCCCCGCCCGCGGGCTCTGCCGGGACCCCCGCCCTGACCGCCCACCCCGAGGGTCCTGTCGCCGACACGCTTCCCCGCGGCTTCAGCGAGGCGGCCGCTGTCGCGATATGGCCCCGTCGGGGACCGCCAGGGCATCCCCCGACGGGAGCCGGCAAAGGCCGGGCCGGTCCTGCCGAGTGTCGGCGGCCGGAACTGTGTCGCGACAGAGAGCGGGGGGGTCCGGGATGGTTCCCGTTCTCCAGAAACGAGGGGGGAAGAAGCGGCAGGAGAGACCCGGCCCCGCTGCCGCGACGGCAGGACCGGCCCGGGCGGGGAGCGGCGGGGACGGAGCCCGTTCCCGGGGTCGGTGCCCGTTCCCGGGGACAGAGAACGGCCCCGTTCCCCGGAGGAGGCTGGAAAGTCGCGCCCGGTCGCCCCTTCCCGTCCGCGGGACCCACCGGGCAGGACCGGCGGCAGCAACCGGGGGGGCTCCGGGATCGAGGGGGGCCGGAGCGCGGGGCTGGCAGCGCACGGGAGTCCCCCAGGCCCGGGACTCCAACGCTCCCGGTTCCCTGTTGCCCGGGTGCGGGGCTCCAGAGCACTCGGTTCCCCGGGACTCCAGCAATCCCCGTTCCCCCGTGCCCGAGTATCTCGGGGCTCCCCAGTACCCGGCTCCGGAGCTCCAGAGCTCCCGGTTCCCCTCGGCTCGGGAGTCCTGGAGCTCCGCTCCCCTCTCCAGGCTCGGGCAGGACCGGGCTCATCCCCGAGGCTCTCCCCGCACTGTCCCGCCCGGGCCCGTTGGGGGCTCCTCCGGGACCCCCCGGTCCTTTTATCCCCCGTTTCGCTTTAATATAAGAAGCAAAAGGCAGCAGCGCGGGGGAAATGAGAACCAGGTGGGACCCAGCAAAGCCCCCCCGCCGCGGGGAACAGGTAGAAAACGCCCCGGGAACACCGGGCTGGGGGTACCGGGAATAGCGGGATGATCTCCCGCTGCCGCAGCACTTACCTGCTGCCGTTCCCGGAGCCCTTTCCGTGCCCCCATCCCTTCGCTAATGATCCCTCTGAGCTCTCCTTTCCCCTCCCGTTATCCCAGGAATTGTGCAGCTGTTCCCCAGCTGCCCCTTCCCCAGCGCCGCCGAATCTTTCGGGGGGTGTCAGATTAGGAAGGAGATGGGGGGGGGGGAATATCTCTATCTTCCCTTTTTCCCATCTTTTGTCCCCCTGTGCCACGGTGTTTATTTAGCTGCGTGCCCGGATCCCGCTCCTTCCTGCCTTTTCCTTCTTTCTGGGTATTTATTTATTTGTCTCTGATGCCAAAACCCGCTCGGAAATGCTCCATGTTGCCTTTGGAAAGGGGGAAAAAACCCAAACTCGATGCTTTGTGCAGCGGGATTTTATTTTGGTCGTATTTTCCCAAATTTTGGTGATATTGGAGGGTTTTGCCTTCGCTCTGCTCTTTGGTGGGACTTGTTTTTTATCGTTAAAACCCTCTGGCCGAGCCCTTTGGAGGCCAAAACGGGGAGGAAATGGGAATTTGGCCTCATCCCTTCGCCGTTATCCGTGACCAGGCGCAGGGACAGGTCGGTACCGAGAGGGACGGGGAGCGACCGCCCCACCAAACCCCCCCCAGATTCCATTTCCCCATTAATTCAAAGCAGCTGGACCCGGGCTCGGCTGCGCCGTAACCCCCAAATTGCCTTAATTAGGAAACAACCAAAAATCAAAACCGAGAGGCCGGAAAAGGCCGCGGCGGGGGCTGTTTTGGGGCTGCGGAGGCTGTTTGGGGGGGGCGGGAGCTGGTTTGGGGAGTCCAAGGGCTGGTTTAGGGAGTTCGGGGGCTGGTTTGGGGGGTGCGGGAGTTGTTTTGGGGAGTTCAAGGGCTGGTTTGGGGAGTTCGGGGGCTGGTTTGGGGGTGCAGAGCCCCCGTGGGGTCCGCAGGGATGGGGACCCCATTCCTCCGCTCCTTTGGGATGTTGGTTAAAGGGCTGGGAAGGAAGATCCATTCCAAAGGCGGCATTTCCCTGATCCTGCCCCTCCGAGGGGGCCAGCGATCCACTCCCCCAGGAATCTCGAATCCCTGGAGCTGGGGATTGGGGTGGGATCAGGGCAAACCCGGCATTTTTAGGTTGTCTCCTTCCCTGTGTCCCCTCGGCTGCTGGGGGACCCCAAACCATTCCCCCCTCTCCCCTGATTTCCCCCTCAGCTCTCCCTTTCCCGGCTCAGCTCCTCGGGGTCCCCACAGCCCCCGGAGCCCCCCGGAGCCGCCGAGTTCTGTGTGTCCCCACGTGGGGACAAACAACCCCCCTGGGGGGACAAGGGTGACCCCCGAACCTTGATCCCTTTCCATCAACCAGCCCAGAGGTGCAGCAGCACAGAGGGGAAGGGGAGAACCCCCAAATTTCCTGCTCCCATCCCAGGGGGAGGGGAGTTCTTCTCCAGCAAAAAAGCAAGGGGGTAATTTTTACCCCTTTCCAAGAGTTTTCCCGGGAGTTGCAGCTCCAGGGAAGTGCCGGCTCGGGGGCACAGCCGCTCCCCCTGAACCGAGCTCGAGGGTGGGGGGCTGGATGCCCCCAGAGCTGGGGGTCCTTTGGCTCTGCCCTGGGCGGGGAGGGAGCAGGAGGAGAGGGATGAGCAGAGGAACCAGGAGAGGAACAGGACGAGTTCAGCCCCGTCTGCGAGACAACCCCGTGCCCACCCTCTGTGCCCCCTGCCCACCCCAACATCCCTGCGGGTCCCTGAGCCCCCGCTGCTCCGTGCAGGCTTCCCACACCCTCGGGAGGCTTTTCCTGCCCTCTTCTCCCACCTCGAGCAGGATTTTGCCCTCTCCAGTGATGGATTTGCCCTGCTGCATGTCCGTACCGAGCCCCTTTCTCTGGGAGCTGTATCCCAGTCCCTGGGGATAAGGGATGGGATGGGGCTGTGGCACCGAGAGCTCTTGGCTTCCTTGTCCCCACTGACACCCCCTCCCCCTGTGCCTCCCCCCCCAGGTGAGAAGGGCTGCAAAGGTGGGTTCCAGATGCTTCCCGGAGCCTGCCGGGCCCCCCCCAAAGCCCCCGGGGATTTGGGGTGCCCGCTGGCAGCACCCCTGGGTGCCCTGCGGGACCACGGGGTCCCCGAGCTCCCCGAGCCCCTGGGCAAGAGCAAGAGCAAGAAGCGGAGGAACAGGACGACCTTCAGCACGTTCCAGCTGGAGGAGCTGGAGAAGGTTTTCCAGAAGACACATTATCCCGATGTCTACGCCCGGGAGCAGCTGGCGCTGCGGACAGACCTGACAGAGGCCCGGGTGCAGGTACGGGAACGGAGCCCTGGCTCCAGGGGGCTGGGAATGGACAACCCGGGTGCTGCCAGGCAGAGCCGGAAGGTGTTTTTCCCTCCTCCGTGCTGAGGTAGAAGCTGTTTTTCCCAGGATTATGCTAAATCCCAGATGGGAAATCCTGCTCCGTGTGCCCATCACCCACCGCTGGGATGTGGGCGCTGGTCTCCTCTAAACTCTGTCCCTTTTCCCCTCTCTCCAGCACCCCAGGGGTGGGAAGAGCCAAAATCTGGGAGGTCGCTGCCAACCTGCCCCCAGAGCATCCCCCCTGCCTGAATCCATCATTCCCAGCCCCCTGCCCAGCTCAGCTCCTCCAGCCCAAGAGGGATCCCGGGAGCTCGGCACGGATGGGGGTGGCACATCCTGGGATATGGGGCAGGATGAGCCTGACCCTTATCCCGGGCTCCGCTGGCATCACACCCGCCGGGAGCTGCTTCCAGAAGCGTCTCCGTGGGGGGATTGTGGCTCCAGGTGGGAAGAGGAGTCTGGAGGAGGCGCCCGGAAGGGAGGGAGTGAAGGCAGGGAGCTCCCACCGGGAGCTGGGAATTGCCCTTCCCGGGGGCAGGAACGGGGACAAGGCACGGGATGTGCCCCCGGAGCCTGAACCCACCCCGCGCCCACCGGGGCCTGGATTTGGGGTGGATTTGGATGAAATCACCTGTAACCACGTGAGCCCCGAGCCAGGTATCCCGATCTCCTCCTTCCTCCTCCCCGGGAGACGCCGCTGGAGCCGCTCCCGCCCCAGTGAGCACCAGAGACCCCCCCCAGTGAGCACCAGAGACCCCCCCAGTGAGCACCAGTCCCCGCCCCAGCACGGAGGGACATCAGGACCCCAAAACCACCTCGTTCCGCAGCAAAATCTGGGATAAATAAGGCTCCGAAGCGCCAGGGAGGGAAAAGGACCACTCACGGAGCGGGACTGATGGTTTCCTACGCGGGATAAGAGCGATTCCCGCTGTTTGTAGAGGAAAAGGCCGCTGGGCTCGAACACTGAGCACGGGGAGGGTCCCTGCGCTCAGCTCCGGTTCTCCGGGACGAGGCGGCACCGTGTCCAGGCGTTTTCCCGGCGGGAAAGGAGCGTGGATCTCGGCAGATGGGCTGCGGGGAGCAGGGGGAGGGTCCCCACCCCTCAGCCCCTTCCTCCATCCCCAGGTCTGGTTCCAGAACCGTCGGGCCAAGTGGCGGAAACGGGAACGTTACGGGAAAATCCAGGAGGTGAGAGATGTCCCGGCCCCGTGTCCCCCATTCCCAGGGGAGGGGGCTCGTCCCACCGAACCGGGGGTGTCCCACATCGCCCATTCTTGCCCTTTCTCACCCCTCCTCCGGTCCCTGCGGTTCCCTCCACCCTCGGAAAAAGGGTGGCCCTGGATGGAAAAGAGGGAAAAGGACATTTTTCCACACGCAGGAAGATGCTGCTGTTTCCTTTCCCTCTCCATGTTCCGTAGGATTGTGCCCTGTGGGGCACGTTTTGGGGTGTCCCCCCCTTTAAGAGCCTCTCCCACCCATCAGTGCTTCCTGCCCCCCCTTTTCTACAGAACTGCCCTTCCCCCCCCCACTATTGAAAAGCATAAAAATAATTGAAAATTCAGCTTCACCCACATCCCTGAGGCCAAACTGTCCCGGGGGGAACATTTCAACCAGGTCCGACCCCCCCAGGGCCTTAAAACAGAGAAAAGGCGAGGGGGGCTGGAAGGGATCTGAGGGGGATCCAAGGAGGGATCAAAGGAGGGATGAGGGGGATCCGAGGGGGAATAAGGAGGATCCAAGGGGGGGTTGAGAGGGATCTGAGGGGGGAGTAAGAGGGATCCGAGGGAGGGATGAAGGGGTGGGAATGAGGAGGATCCAAAGGGGGAATTGAGGGGGATCTGAAGGGGGATGGGGGGGCAAGGAGGGATGAGGGGGATCTGATGGGGGGGCGAGGGGGTCTGAAATGGGAATGAGGGAGGCCCGAGGTGGGGTAAGAGGGATCCAAGGGCAGATTAGGGGGACCCAAAGAGGGTTGAGAGGGATCCGAGGGGGGTGAGGGAGTGAGTGGGGTGTGAAGGAGAGCTCAGGGGGATCCAAGGCGGGATGAGGGGGATCCGAGGGGAGGGGACGCTGAGCAGGATCTGAGGGGATGTCATCCCCCCCTCTCCCATTTCACTTTGGGCTTGTTTCTGGTTCTTTCAGCTGCAGAACAACCTGTGGCCGAGCCCTGCGAGCCCCCCGGGGCTCCTGCCCGCCGAGCCCCTCCCGTCCCCCTGCCTGGCCCCGTATCCCCCCCCCCGCCCACAGCAACGCCTTCGTGGCCCTTCCCGCCTCCCCCGGCGCCCCCCCCGCCATCAACGGCCTCTATTCCCTGCACGGGCTGCCCCCCCCGGCCCTGGCCCCACACCCCTTCGAGCCCCCCCCCCCAGCACGACTACAAGGCGCCCGCGCTGATGCCGCTGAGGATGAAGAGCAAAGAGGGGCCCGGGAACCTGCTGGGCTGGGCCACATGATCCCCCCGGGGGGAGGGACACGGACCCCCCACCCCCTCCAGCGCCAGGATTTGGGAGCAGGGCGGTGGGATCACCTTCTTCCCCTTCCTGCACACCCCGATCTCCGGGAGTTTTCCTGAATCCAGCGCGATGCTGCTGCACTGGGGGGGCTAAAGGGGGGCTGTGGGGAGGGAAGAGGGTCACCCCCACCCCCGGGCTCGCACTGGCAGCTCAGGCCCCCAAAAGAGACTCCCAGAGCCCTCCCAAGCACCTTCAGTGAAGGGGGTTTGATGGAGATTCCCGGGGGTTTGCAGCCCTCTTCCCTCCCATCAAATCCGTGTCCCAGGCTGGGGGGCCCCAGCCCTGGGTAGGGGGACTATGACGGGGGGGGAGGCAGGAAACCCCCCTGGCAGGGGACACGGGGTGTTTTGGGGGTTCCTCTCCCCTCCCCAGCTGGAGTTTGGCTGCTCACCCCCCTCCCAGTGCAACCAGCAACGGCAGAAATTTGGCTCTTCCACTCCCAGTCCCATACTGGGAAGGCCCCCTGGGACAGTTCCTGGTGCTCGGGGGGGTTACTGGGGGCAGAGCCGTGTTCAAGGAGCCCCCAAAGTCCCCCCCCTCAACCACCACAGCCCTTTCTGCTCCCCTTTTGGGGGGAAGCCCTGGCACAGCCCCAGTTCCTGGAGCAGGGGGAGCCCCCTGGGATGGGCAGTAAATCCGTGGGGTGGGGGCTGAGGGGGTAAAGATTCCCAAATTGAAGCCTGTTTCCCTGGGGAGGGGGTCACCTGTTACCCCTTGGATGGAAGAGGTGGGGAGGTGCTTTAATCCCCCCAGGTGGGACCCCCCAAATGCTCCAAGAGGGGTGTTGGGGGCACAACCGGTCATTTGGGGGAGGTTCCCCATTTTGGGGGGGCTCTTGGTGGGGGTACCTGTATGGCCAGTCCTGGGGGGGTGGGGGTCACCTCATTGCATCCAACTTGTTTCATCTTCTCTGGGGGTCCTGGGGGGAGTCACCCCAAGTCCCTCCAAGTGCCAAAAATGCCCCCCAAACTGGGATGCCACCCTGCCCCATCCTGACTGGGGGGGGACACCCTGGTGGGGCACCTGGACACCCCCTCTTGGGGAGGCACCAAACCTGCTGCTCCAGCCCAATCTGGGCCAAACCCCAAGGTTTTCAGCCCAAACCTGGCACCCCTGGCACAGCCCATGGGTGCCCCCCTTCCCCCTGGGCCATCTCACCCCCCCCTCCTCCAGGGGGGAGTCGGTTCTTCATTTCTGAGCAATAAAACACATTTGTAATAAGTTATTTCTGGCTCTGGCACTGCTGTAAAGCCTGGCAGGGGTGAGGAGGGAGATTCCCACCTGGATCTTGGGTTGGCTCTGGGAATAGGGTTTGCTGTCTCCATCAGGGCTGGATTCACTCCTGGAGCTCCACAGGCTCAGCCCTGAGCTGTCCCACAGGGATGGGGTGGGAATTGGGGCTGTCCCAGCTTCCCTCCCTCAAACCAGGGTGAATCCCCTGGGATTCCATCCCTGGGAGATGCCCCTGTGCCAGGGCACTGAGGCCCAGTGAGGTGCAAGGCTGAGCTCTGGCAAGGCCAGGGGAGGCTGGGTTTGGTGCCTGGGAGCAGAGACAATCCCAGTGGGAACACCAGGATGGTGCCAGAAATCCCAGGACAGAGCTGGGGAGGGCTCAGGGAATGGGACAGGGGGGAACCTGCCACCCCCGAGGCCACCAACCCCCCAAACCAACAGAGGGGGGGCAAGGGGAACATTAAACCTTCTAGGGACAGGTCAGGACCCCCGTGGGATGTGAGGGGTGATGGGGACAAGGGCAGATGAGGACCCCTCTCCCAGCTCGGGGTGGGAGCACAGACAGAGCCTGGGCACACTCGGGGCAGAGGTATCACCAAATATATATAATTTATATACAGCTCACCCCCCCCGGCCCCCCAGAGCCCCCCAGGAGGGGCTGGGCAGGGCCAGCCTCTCGCCCCACGCAAAGGACCCCCTCCCACACTGACCCCCTCGTTTAGGCTGGAGGGGGCACCGGGAGGGAGGTGCCCCTGAAAGCAACCCCAGGGGTGGGCACAGCCCCGGGGGGGTCAATCTGCCCGGGGGGGGCACATCCCTGCCCAGGGATGGGCAGATCCCAGGGGAGGCACTGCCTTTGGGGTGGGTGGATCTACCCCGGGGTGGGCACAGACCCCCCACCTGATGAGAACCCCCCAGGGCACCACAGCCCCCCACCCTCGGCTGCGGGACGAGCCTGGAACGGGGCAGAGAGGCAGGATGGCGCCTCGGCAAGGACCCCCCAGCTCCACCCTCTTCCCACCCCACCCCAGGCCCCCCAGCCCCGCTCCCCGCCCACGCCCCGTGTCCGTGTCCCCGTCACTGCAGCAGCTCCTCCCAGGAGATGGGCCTGGAGAAGACCTCCCTCTCCAGCCACAGGTCATAGTTGACCTGGAAGTCCTCGGGCAGCTCCACGCGCTGGCCCAGCACGCTCTGCAGGCAGTTGTCCACGGGCACGAACTCGGGGTTGCCGTGGGCGCGGTCGTAGCGCCGCGCGTTGAAGCGCTCGATGCTGGCACGGAGGGCACATTCCTCCGCCTGGAAGTCCCAGGGACGGGCATCCAGGTCTGGCAGGAGAGAGAAAACGGCTCAGGGCAGAGCCCAAAGCCGCCGGGAAAGGAAAGGGGGCTGTGGGTCCCCACCAGGGCAGATGCAGCAGCTCCATCACATCGACAGCAGATGCTGCTGGTTTGGACCCCTCAGGCCAAAAAATGTACTCAAAAAATGTGATGCCACCTCAGCCCAGCTCCTAAATCCTGATGGGGGGGGGCACCAAACCTGCTGTTCCAGCCTGATTTAGGGCAAAGCCCAAGCTTTTCAGCCAAAGGGAGCCCCAAGACCTGGCACAGCCCTGAGTCCTGCAAAGCCTCCACCTGGAATCCCTCCTGCATCCCAGACCTCTGGATTGGGTCTGGCTGAGCTGGATTGGGTTTGGCTCAGCTGGACTGGGCCTGGCTGAGCTGGGAAGGGCTAGGAAGAGCTGGGAAAGAGCTGGGAAGCAATGGGAAAATGCCGGGAAGGGTTGGGAAGAGCTGGGAAAGAGCTGGGAAGGGCTAGGAAGAGCTGGGAAGGGCTAGCAAAGAGCCAGGAATGGCTGGCAAGAGCTGGGAAACAGCTGGGAAGAACTGGGAAAGGCTGGAAAGAGCAGCTTTGTGGGCACCCGGTCAAGGTCAACTGGTCAAGGTCGCCCCACCCCATGTGGACAAGCCCCCAGGCAGCCCCTGGAGTGGGAAGGCATCGGGAATGCCGTGGGAATGCCGTGGGAATGCCGTGGGAATGCCGCGGGCAGGCGGGAGGTACCATTGCCGTAGGCCCAGTCGTCGTTGAGGCGGTGCCGAACCTTCTGGTAGATGGCTGACATGGTTTTCATGTTGCTCTTCCTCCACTGGCGGCCCAGGTACTTGGTCTGCACCTTGAGCAGCTTGAGCACGTAGAGCTGCAGCATGGCCTGCTTGACCTTCAGAGCCCGCTTCAGGATCGGAGCAGACTTGAACACCACCAGCATCTGCAGGGGGGACAGGGGTGGGATGGGGCAGGACAGGGATGGGGTAGGGTGGGTGGGACAGGGAGGGATGGGGTGGAGTAGGATGGGTGGGACAGGGGTGGGGTGGGAGAGGGATGGGGTAGGATGAGTGGGACAAGGAGGGGTGGGACAGGGATGGGGTAGGATGAGTGGGGCAGGGAGGGGTGGGATGGGATGGGTGGGACAGGGGTGGGGTGGGATGGGATGGGGTGGGACAGGGAGGGATGGGACGGGGTAGGATGGGTGGGACAAGGGTGGGATGGGATGGGGTAGGATGGGTGGGACAGGGGTGGGGTAGGATGGGTGGGACAGGGAGGGGTGGGATGGGGTGAGATGGGGCAGGACAGGGATGGTGTAGGATGGGATGGGGTGGAACAGGGAGGGATGGGGTAGGATGGGTGGGACAGGGGTGGGGTAGGGTATAGGGTGGGATGGGGTGGGGTGGGATGGGACAGGGATGGGGTGGAACAGGGATAGGGTAGGATGGGATGGCATGGGATGGGGTCCTGTGTCAACCCCATCCCCCAGCTCCCTCTCCCCTCTTTCCATCCTCCCTCACTCACTTCTCCCTCCCCACCGAGGGCTGGGTTGCCACAAAGTGTTCCCAGCCCACAGCCCAGGCCCTCAGTGAGATCCCAGTCCAGCCAGGCTGAGCTCCAGAACATTCCCAGCCCTCACCATGGTGCGGGAATGCTTCCACTTGGTCAGTTTGTTCAGGATGCGCAGCAGGTTGATGCAGGAGAAGAGGTTCCTCCAGCAGAACTGGTTGTTGTCTCCGGCCTCCTGTGGGGAGGACGGGCAGGGTCAGGCAAGGGAAGGGAGCAGGGATGGGGAGAGGCTGGGGTGGGCTTGTCCAAAGAGTGTGCAGGCATGGAATCACCCAGTCATGGAATTGGTAAGGTTGGAAAAGCCCTCCCAGACCAACAAGTCCAACCTGCCAAGGCCACCACTGACCATGTCCCCAAGTGCCACATCCACAGGTTTTTTGGACACCTCCAGGGATGGGGACTCCACCACCTCCCTGGGCAGCCCCTTCCAAGGCCTGATCACCCTTGTCCCCTGGGAGCAGAGCCCGACTCCCCCCGGCTCCCCCCTCCTGTCAGGGAGTTGCAGAGAGCCAGAAGGTCCCTCCTGAGCCTCCTTTTCTCCAGGATGAGCCCCCCCAGCTCCCTCAGCCCCTCCTGCTGCTCCAGACCCTTCCCCAGCTCCCTCAGCTGCTCCTGCTGCTCCAGACCATTCCCCAGCTCCATTCCCTTCCCTGGACATGCTCCAGCCCCTCAATATCCTTCCTGTCCTGAGGGGCCCAGAACTGCCCCCAGCAGAGCTCTGCCATCCTCCCCAAAAGCCCCAGGGGCACAGGAGTGCTGAGGGTGCCAGGGCTGGGTGGGGGAGCCCCGAATTCCCCCGGGAGCACCCCAGGACTGGCACAGTTGGACTCACCAGGCTCTCGGCCGTCAGCTCCGGCAGCTCGTGCACCACACAGTAGGGATAGTCCAGCACAGAGATGCTGCAGGAAGGAGAGGGGGGGTCGTGCTGATCCCCCACAGCCCCC